TGTTTATAATTTAAAAGCAATTCCATTTACTTCTGGATGCAATTAAAAGATGGAATTTAAAAGCAATTCCATAATACAAATGGATTTACCTTGAGTATTTTTCTTCAGAGAAAAATAAATCTGAAGATACTTTTTCACAAAGAATTTTCATAAAATGCAGATACACAGTGAGTATCTCACTTGGCTAGTGATAACAGGAAGGGTAAAAATTAAATTCAAGGCCTCTGAAAGGGAATAGTGTTGCTGTAAAGCCACTGATTCCACAGTTAATTGACCAGGAACTGTGTTATTTGTAAAGGGTTCATGGTTCAAACCAGCTTAGGCTTTTTGTGTGAGGATAGGTGATTTCCATACATTTCCTGAATCGAGTTCTCCCTGGAGGTCTCTGGCTGCTGAACAGCCTTCAGCTCCTCTTCTCCCTGAATCTCTTCTTTTGTGAGTTCCAGTGACATTAAACTCCTGGGTGTTCGCAGAAGCTCTTCGGAGACTTGATTCTGTGTCTTATCACTGCGGTGAACTCTGCGAGAGAAAGCTTCCCACGCCTTCATTTCTGTCAACTCTTTTTGCTATGAGCTCATATAAAACTTTACTCTTTTCCTTTTAAAAATATTATTATACTTTTTTCAAAAAATACCAAATCATCTCCTTTTGCATGTGTTTATGTAAGTGATCGTTCTAATGGCTGTTCTCAATATGCTCTTCATAAGTCTTTCCTTTGTTTCCTTGTATAGAAGGACTTCCCCCTTATTTCCACAGTTTCATGTACCATTTCCCTCGCTGGAAACGTGACAAAAACAGCTTTGCTCCATAAGTTACTAGGAAATTATTTACTTTATTGTGTTTTTATAAAATTCATAAATCATGTAAACAGGCTGTGTTGTGAATTAATTGGTAGATCATCTATCTCAGAATGGGTTAAAGAATTGCCAAGAATGATCAAGCCTGCTCTCTTCCTGGCTCTGCCTGTGGTGTTGACAGCCAAGCAAAGAACTTCTTCAATAAATCCACTCTCATATTCAAGTTTTTCCAGATGTGAGAAGTAATTAAGTCTTTGCATTTATTGAAGCCTTTTATGCTTTTCAAGGGGGAAGCAGGCAGCTGTGGTGAATTAACATTGCCTGAGTGCGCATGTGTGTGTTTGTGCGTGTGCGCGCGCGCGCGTGTGTGAATGTACATATATATAAGCACATGTAGTCAAATGAGGTCAGACCTGAAAATAAAATGAAAAGCTGATTTCAATTGTGGCCCCAATGTTTTACAGCTATGTTTTATAATTGGGAGAAAAGAGCTTTCTCCAAAATTCCTTTTCCTTTTTGTTTTGCTGAATGTTAAAGAAATGAAGATAATTGAATCACTTACAACTGTTAAAGGATATACATAAAAATATATGATTTCTCCTAAAGCATAAAGCGCACTTCAGAAATTTTAACTGACTCACAAATGAGTGTACCTGTAAGATCTTACAGATGGCTCAAAGGTGTATTTGAAGAGCCACACGTCAATGAGTAATAAGGAACGCTGAAATGAATTTATAAATAGGTGCAAAGAGGGTTGATCTGCAGGGCAATCATCAGTTGCTTTCCCAAGGACACAATTAATTTGCATTTCTATGAATAAGGATTGTTTTATCCTTGTTACCAGTTTTCAACAAGTTACAGAATTATAAAGTAGCAAAGGCACTGAAAGGACAGGATGGTCCCAAAGGAAGCACTAGATAAGACGCCTGATATTTCTTTTTTCTGGGTGCCAATTTCACCCTTTCACAGTTATTCCAGAGCCTTACACAAAATTGTAGGAAAGGAATACTTTCTGTGGATCTCACTTGATGCTTTGGCTCTGGTTATGAGCCACATCGAGACCACTCCACCCTTGGGCTTTCTCTGTGGTGAGCATCGCAGGAGTGATTATAGTATTAGCATCAATATTAGGAAAACTGAATTTGTATCTCAGGTAAGTTGCAAAGCAAATGATAGCCTTCATTTCACTGGGTGCTCAGGTTAAATTCCCCTCTCAGTAAGAAGAGCACTCAATTTTAACTTGGCCTTTCTACCTCACTCAGTGTGGAAATTGTGTCCCAAATTATTTGCAGTTGCTTGTTCTTGTCTTCCTCCAATACTAGTCTACATACGTAGGTCCCATTTGTGAGTAGATTCTGTGTCTTTGAAAATAGGACTGTATAGAACAGTCCATTAAATCTTATTTTAGTAGCATAAGTGGTAATGGTGACATTAACTCAGGCAGCTTTGCATTCTTTTGATTGGTAATGAACAAACAGTAATGAAATAGCCATTAAAATGAGATGTAGACAGATGTGGTGGCGCATTCCTGTTATCCTAGCACACAGGAGGCTGAGGCAGGAGGATTACCAGGGTTAGAAGACCAAGGCCAGCCCACATAGAGACCTTATCTCAAGAAACAAGAAAACAAAACAGGGGGCTAGTATTAAGCAGAACTCTCTCTTTTTTTAGCTCTTCTATAAAGAAGATAGATTGCCATAGAGTGCTTACATTTCTTGTTTCCTCCCCCTTCATCTCTTAGTAAGTTCTTTTTTGGGCAGATGCCAAACAATGCATAAATATGAGGGAAAGGTAAAACAACCAGGGATTTGACTGAGAAGCAAGAACTTGCTGGGGGAGAGTCATAAAAAAAAACGAGGCAACTAAAAATGAATGAGAAAAAACTGTCAGGACAGGAAAACAAGTGAGGCAAGTGAATTCCTCTCTTACCTAGTCACTTAAGATGAATATTTTATAATAAGAAATACTGAGTAAAATCAAGTCACCTTATCTTTATGTTCTCCTTGTTGGGGCAGAGGTACTTCCTGTCTGTCCTCTGAAGGTTTAATTGTTGAGTCTGCTGAAATCGACTGACAGTAGACAAACTGACAGGAGAAAAGGAATAGTTTACTGTGTGCTCAGGGGCACTGCAGGAGAGAGAATGACGAGCAACCCCACGAGGGTTAGAGGCTTCTACTCTCTTCCTAGGGGCAAGGGAAGTGGGAGATCTAAGAAGTTTTAGAGGAGTAGAATGGCAGTAGAGTCTAGGACTACGTTTGTGCAGGCTCTGGGTGTGATGTTGAACTTTCAGTCTCTTCCTGTGATAGGGGTTTGGTCGATGAAATAACAGAGAGGATGAAAGGAAATTATTTATCGACTGGCAAATCCGGTGTGCAGGTTAAAAAAAAAATAGTTCACAGCAGAGCCTGTTTGTGTCTGAGGATTCCCTAGTAGCTTCCATTTTAGTATGTGTGCTGCCGAAGTGAGCACTCCCTAGTACCTGTGGTCTAACGCAGTCAGCATGCGCAGTGCCGTACTTCAGGTGGACACCCACTCTCCACTCAGAAGTCAGTCTTGGCCTGTTTATTATGGAATTTCATTTGTAAGTCTCTTGGTACCCTGTTGGGAAAAGTGCATGTCCTATCACAGTGAAGAAAGGAAAGGAGAAAGAGGTGAGATAAGTATGGAACATCTGGTAAGAACCAGGAGCTCCCTGTTGCCCATGACCCTAAGGACACTGAGGACAGTCAGGCAGGATGGGGCTTGCAAGGGTGGTACAGATGGTTTGCCTTGCCAGGGGCTGTTGCTATGGAAATACATTTGCTTACCTGTACACATCAAACTATAAAAAGATCGGCAGCCTTCTGTATCATGAATACACAAGTTCGCGCTCATCTTTAGGGAGGCCCTTCTTGGCTTGAAAAGACAGACTGATGACACAGAGTCTCACCCATTCCAGTGAGAGGACCCTTTCACATCAAGGGCTTTTCTTGTAACTGTTTCCTTTACTGGGTAGTTGAAAATTGTCCCAGTGCTTTCCTTCTAAGAACTTCTGGAAATTCAGCTTTTCTGTTTATGCAGAATTGGAGGCAGAATTAGAGGCAGAGATGGATTAAGTAACTCTCCCTAGAGGATGGAGTAGAACTGGTCCTGGATGTCAAGGCTTCTGCTATCATGTGATCGCCATCTTGGTCTCATTCCATAGTATGGCATGAGCAGAGGACCAAAGTTAAAAAGTAGACAACCTAAATGAAGGGTCTGTAAGTAACAGGGATTAGCAACTATACAGATTTTCCCTTTGGGGGTGCCTGAGGTGGAAAATATGTATGTATTAGAATATACCATTAAACTTGTTTTGTTTTTTTTTAAGAAAGATGATGGGAAATTTTGAAACATGATAACTATCCATGAAGGTCGCTTTTTCCTTGTCCCACAAGTTAGATTTTAGCACTGTTTTTTTTGGTACCAGGGATCGAGCTCAAGACCTTGCATTTGCGAGGCAGGCTCTGGAACCACTGAGTTAAATCCCTGGCCCCAAGATTTTAGCACTATTGACAGAACAGTTTTGCTGTGATAAATTGCAGGGTTTAAAATTTTTTAGAGAAATCTTGATGTGAATTTTATATTATGGATGAAGGGAAAAAGATGTATTCAATCAAAAGTAATGGTGTATGTGGCTTGCCAGACAATCCATTAAAGAGTTCATCCAGCAAGTCTTGAACACTGTTTTCTTTTTATTTCCTACCTAATCTTAGTGCAGAGCATGTTTAATTCACCATTGTTTCTCTAACACCAAGTACAAGCCAGCATAACAACACTTTCTTGGTGAACAAAGAGGGTTCTAACATTCTATTTAATAACTTTGCAAATGAGACAGATAATTAATTTTTCTTGGCCTTAATTTTATCTTTTGTGAGAAAGGCTTTAGGTATATTGATTTCTTAAGGATATCTTTGGCTTTAAAGTTCTGATTCTAAAATCTCAAATGGAAATTTTGCATGCATGTATTCTTAGCACTTGGGAGGTGGAGGCAGGAGTTCAAATCCCACCCAGGCAACTTAGTGAGACCCTGTCTCAGAATGGAAAGGGCTAGTCCTGGTTTAATCTCCTGTACCACTACAAAAGGAAAAATCGAGTGGAAACTTTGGGTTTACATTACATGTGATTTTTGTTGTTTATTTCACATTTTTGTGCATTCAATCTCAACAGATTGTTTTCTTCCAGCACAGTGGAGAGTGGATAGCAATTCCTCATGTGGTGGGAGATGAGAAGGTAGCTGCTGTTTGGACTGATGCAGGTAATGCAGCCTGGGGAGTAGACATCCTCTGAGCAACACAAGCGTTGTCATCTTGGATACGAGGCAGGAGCTGTGTTTTGGGCAGTGTGGGCTTTATTTTCTGTCTGTACTTCTGGGAGGTTGCAAGAAAAGTTTATAGAAATTGTTCCTCCATAGAAATTGTTTCCTTCTTAAAGGTAATGTAACACATCTTCTATAGAATGTTTGAATAATGTTAGAAAAGGCTTCTGACAGAGGGAACAATCAGAGTTACACATTCTTTCTTCCCTTTATGGGACAACTAGTGTACAAAGAATTTGCCATCCTGGGTGGGAAACGTGACAAGGCTGTTATCTTAACTTTTCCAAATACAGCATGCCTGGGACAATTTCTTTTTGGCATTTAGTTGGCAAGCAGGATATGTGATGTCATTCATTTAACCTGTAACAAAAACTTCCATGGCAAAATGAGCAACTCTTTTAGAACACAGTCATTCGTCAGAGTAGAGCAGTGTTTCCCTAAGTAATAGTGTACAGAAAGATGTTAGTTTTCTGGAGTTGTGGTTGTCATTAAAACACAATGGTAGACAGAGGAGAGGAGATAGAATGGGTAGGATTCACATTTGGGAAATAGATTTTTGGTTGAGAGTGTTTCTATAACTTTGAGTGGGTCAATATGGTGTGTGGATTGCTAAGTGGTAGAGATTACCATACGGGTTTTCTAAATAGGTTTGTTTAAGTAGCTTGTTTTTTTCTTGCCAAATATTTTGTGGAACTTTGTCTCATGGAACATAACTTGGGGAATAATCTATTTATGATGACTATGTAGAATTTTTTTCTTGTCGGAATTTTCCCTTTTGATAAGGCCAAGGCGTTTTTTCTTAAATATTGAAAACCAGATATGGATCTCAAGGGAAAACAGTATAATACTTGGCTTCTTGCAGTGATTTGTTATTTTGCACAAAGGTGTGTTTAATGTAATTAATTTTATTATTATAGGATTTTTTTATGTCTAGCACTGATATAGAGTGGTTTTGAAAAAAAATTTACTCTAGGATTTAAATAACCAGATTAATAAATCATGAGTTATATAGTCTTAGAATTACCTAAATTGACAATAAAGAAATTTGTTGTAAGAAATATATTTTAAATTGTATAACTAGTGACACATATCACACAATAAATATGAAAACTTGTCTTTCCAACTTTTCCATGTGGATGGTGTGCATTGAAGAATATACAAATAATTAATAAAAATTAGTAAAAATTGACACAAGAGAATCCAAAGAGGAAGATTATTATGTTTTGAGCCAGTAATGTTTCTAGAATTCTTAAATGATATATCAGCACATTAACTGCAACTTCTCATGTTTAATGATGTTTACAATTAATACAATACAATAGTCCCTAATAAAAGATTAACAGTCATAATTAACTCAGAATGGGTTCTTTGAAGTGGCTCAAAGGGCTTTTCATAATAAATTACTGGCCTCTAATCAGCTAATATTAAAGTAGGGTTTTTTTTAGGATGTGAGAAGTACATGTATATCTCATAAAATATTTAATTTATGTTAATGAAATGAGTTTCAGTGACCTGGCGTGTTACACAGCATCAGAGCTGTGTCTGACGTTCCAGTGAAGACTTTTTTTAGATGGAGTTAAGCAGTCTTTGAGATAATAGGCTTGGGCTCTGATAACTTGAGTGTGATAGCTGAGTAGTTTCCCTAGAATCTTGTAAGTCCTTTTAAAACCACGAATTATGAATGAATTGAATTAGTGAAAGATAAGTGAATGTTCTCTTTTGGATTTCTTAACTAGTTTAAATAATGTTGACTTGAAGAGTTTGCGGAAGTGATTTTTGCCTGAGGGAAAATGTCAGTGTCCCTTGTGAGAGTGACGCTGGCCATTCACTCACAGCTTGTGAGATAAGGAGAAAAGTGTGAGCCAGCCAGCGAGCCAGGCAGACAAAGGGAAGCCTGCAAGGTCACTCCTGCCCAGGCACCAGAGAAGCCAGGAGCACGAGGGGGCTGTGGTCCCTAAAAGGACCCCACGCTAGTCAAGTTTTAAACTGTAAATGTTTTGGCAGGGTAAAAAATGAAGGTTCCTGTATTTGAGGATGTAAAGGATGAACCTGGAGAGGAAAAAACAGAAGAAGAAGAAGAGAATGAAGAAGACCAGGTAAGCGAGGAACCACCTATCCAACCCCAGTATTTGCTTCTGTGATGGACGAGGTCAAAAATGGTCCCTTTCCTTCCTCTCCGAACAGGTGTTCTTCAAGCCTGTTATTGAAGACCTAAGCATGGAGCTGGCCAGAAAATGCACTGAACTCATCAGTGATGTAAGAGGCTTAAATGGCTTTGTCTCCTTTTGTGTCGCGCGTGTGGAATGGTGATGGTGTAGGCTCATAGAGCTGGGGAGAAAACCTTGAAACCGTCTATGAAAGCACAATTATTTTCCAGATTGTGGAACTAAGTCCAGACATTTTAAATGATTTCCCCAAGGTCACCTATACAGAGAATTTCTGTTGGAAATCTCTTTCTTAATCCAGAATCCTGTCTTTTGTGAGTTCTGTTATTATTCTGGTATGAACTCATAAGGCATTGAGTTGCAGCAAATATTGCATTTGAGAACCCCAGAGATGTTAAAATTCGTGTGATGACGTGATTTGTCTTGGAAAGATCTATTTAACTAGATGTGGAGGGCCTTTTGAAGAATCTGATGAGTGCCTATACCCATATGCATATAACGTGTATTTAGAATTTAGGATTCACGGATCACTAAACTGCATGTTGAGAACCATGATCTAGACGATATTGGAGAAAGGTGCATTTTTGTTATGACTTTTTTTTTAGTAAGTAGGATTAGTTTATACTACATTTCAAGGGAATCCTAGAGTTATTTAATGTGCACATGCACACATACATCGTAAATGTGTAAACTGCAGTTCTAGGAGCCCATGGAAAAGTTTTACTCACCAAAGATGAGAAATCAGCTCATCTTCACTAACAGTCAAAAGAGAATTGGTAGAAGAGTGGAAATTGAGTCCCTGAAGTGAACGTGTGCCCGTGTCTTCATTTAGGAAGGCGAGTACAGTGCTGGGTTGTATTGGTTAGTGTTCATAAGCAGCGTAATGGGAATATCTGAAAAGTGCTTGTTTTTCAAAGGAAATTCATCCTGGGCAGTGGGGTGGCGTGCTGGCAGATGCTATGATGTCAACCTGATAACTTGATGGTAACGTTGAGAAGGTTATTTAGGTTCAGTTTCTTCTAGTGTAATATTTATAATAGTAAGGTCAAATAATGCTTAACTATCCCAAATACTGACTACTGTCTGGCACATTATGAGCACTCAGTAAATGTTACTTGGTATTCACTACTCCATCTGTGATTTACTTTTGCATGATTCCAGTCATGGTTTATAGTTGACTCTTGAGTGCCTTCTGGTTTGTCAGAAAGAACCAAAGGGTGGTGGTGGGAATCATACTTCTTCCCAAATATTTGACATACGATGTAATTAAGTTTATTTATTTATTTATTTTGTACTGGAGATCGAACTCAGGACCTTGCGCTTGCGAGGCAGGCGGCGGCACCACTGAGCTAAATCCCCAGCCCTGATGTAATGAAATTTAAATGAAATATTTCTATGCGCTATTACTTCATAATAGTAATTAGCTACTTGGGTATGTGGAAGTTCTTGGTAGACAATCACAATGAAATGACAGTAACAACACTAACAGTTTAGGTGCATTGAGGTGCCACAGGTCAAGCCTTGCAGCTTGTGAGGCTGATTCTACTCGTTTCCCACGTGAGAAGTGAAGAGACAGACAGCGAAGCAGTGGGAGTAGGACTTGAACACAAAGTCGTCTCCCTTTTTGCTGCTGCGTTATCTCTTATCGTAGGGTTTCATGCAAAGTTTATCTTAGCTTTATAGTTATTTATGATGCTACTGTTAGTAAAGGAGGGAAAAAAGCCTCAAATCCCAACTCTGGAAATAGTGACTTCTTCCAGCTTTGGTCTGTTTTTGTTGAAGCATAATTATTGCTGGGCTAAATTGTATCACATCTGTTACGGCTAAATTGGTAACTTTAGTTCATAGGTGACTTATTGGAGTTGTTCTAGGTAAGATCACTTATTGGTGACTTTAAAAACAACCTGAAAAAGGAAAAAGAGAAACAACCTGTAGCCAGGAACAATGACTTTTATCGTTTTGTAAAAGCAAAAGTCATGTTGTTTCCCTCCCCTCTGGATGAAATCGAACACAGGAGAGAAAGTTCTACTTCAGTAGATTTACGTTGCCTGGCAGAATGCCTGCACTACTTAAATATTTAACATGACTACTGTGGCTTAATTCATAGCTGTGTGCATGTTCACATTTCGTTTCCAAATAGAATTCTGTACTTATTAAGACATTCACTGAATTTTTAGAATTTTTACATTCATCAATGAAGAGCCTAAAAAATTGCACATTTGTTTCTAAAACAAAACAAAACAAAACGAAGAGGAGTTTGTCCAATCATTTAAAACAAATTGAATTGATTCTTAGCAAAAGAATTTGGTGTAGTGGACATGAAATTAAATCTTCACCATTGTAGAAGTTTGGTTAAATCATATTCTTAAGTAACAGTTGGCTGCTTCTTTCTCAAAAGTGTCATCAATAGTTTTATATGGCACAGACTAACTTAAATTTGAAACTTTCCCAAATTAATATAGTTTCCAAATTTGCATTTCTCATCTCTGTTATATGGATTATTGTGTGGCTAGCTGGTTGTCTAAAACGGATCAGTCATGGAGCAAAACAGATATCAAACTTTACGTATTGCCACACTGAATTAGACCTTGGTTCCAATCTGGGAACCCTATTTAATATTTCTTTCTTTCTTTTTTTTTTTTGGTACCTAGGCTCGAACTCAGGACCTTGCACTTGAGAGACAGGCGGTGGCACCACTGAGCTAAATCCTGGCCCCAGCCCTATTTACTATTTCTAACTGTGCCCCACACTTAATTCAGGTTCTCCCTGATCTCAGGTGTAAACACAGCTCTTCAGATTTCCCTGGGCACATTCAGGCCAAGTCACCCCGCTGGCACGCTCCCTGGGACCTGGACTAGGTGGGCCTGCCCTCCGCCTTGGCCTCTGCACTGTCCTTTCTCACACTGTGTGAGTGTCTCTGCGCCGAGCGCCTCCGCAGCCTGTGTTCTAGGTTCTGAGAGCCCGGTTCACAGGTGGAAACCCGAGGCTGAGCGGCTCGTCACAGGCTATTGGGCCAAGTAGGCATGGGAACAAGGTTCAAGCACACATAGGTCCAGCTAAGCCCAGAGCCTGGAACTTTCCACTCTGCCTCGTTTGTTAGATGAGAAAGGTGGGTCTGATGGTTTCCCTTCCAGAGCAGCCTTTCTGCATGCCTTTTGTCATTCAGTTATTCCTCCTTCGCCCTCTCCCAGCCTCGAAAGTCTTCCCTGGGGTGTAAGAACCAGCTGTGGAGGGCCTTGGATTGCGTGTGCGTGGGTTGTGATACTGTCTGGAGTTTTTTGGACCCGAGGGCTGAAGAAAGCTGTCGGGCCAATCTCTGTCGGAAGTCTGAGCCATTTTCAGCCCTACTATCTGGCTTGTAGCAGCCAGCTTGGGTCCATCGGTTTTCAGGAGTAGGTCGAATTGTTCTAACCTCCCGAGGCATGGATGTAATCTCTGGTTTTCTGCTCTCTCGCCTGGCCTTTGACAGTTTCCGGGGTTCATCTCTTTCAGCTTGTCATTTCACTCTCCAAGAGAGCTGGGGGCATCTGCAGGCTCCGAACCTTGCTGTGTCATCCCGTGTCAGGCAGTGCATAGAAATGTTAAGTGAGATTGGCCCGGAGATCAGTCCTGGGAGGCCTGTGCTATTCAGAATTCCCCACAGAGAGAAGTGGCAGCTTTTCAGGTCAAGTGGCTTCACTTTGGGATCAGTATGAGGCAGTTTCTCTTTCCTTTCCTGGCCTTTTCTCTCTCCCTCTCGCCCACCTCCTATCCTTCCCCTTCCCTCCTCTCCCAACTGCTCTCCCCTCCTCCCCTCCCCTCCTCTCCTCCTCTCTCCCGTCCACTTTCTGCTTTGCACTTGCTCTACCACGTCATGGGGTTTCCCACTTCCAGATCCTGAAGGACATTTAGTCCTCTGAGGCAGTCTCTTCGGATTTTTCTGTTAACCACCTAACCCTTTTTATTTCTCCAGCTAAACTCTGATTTTTAGCCATTTCTCAAACACACAGTCAATCCCTTGCATTAATTAAACCTACCCACTCTGTTGAGCATCTGGAGTCATGGAGCTAGTAGTTCTCTCATAGGCAGTCATCAAGAAATGTGGAGTAAAAGGAATCTTTCGTAGGTTTCCTACAAATGAAGCATAAAGAGCCTTTGAGGAGGAAGTTTGTTTGCATCCACTTCAGCCCCTGACTCAGTGTTTTATTCAAAGCTTTTTAGGGTGTTCGCTTGCATGGTAGTGGGGACACTATGCAGGCAGATGAACATTGCTATGGATAAAACCCCCAAATGTGCAACAGCAGGTTCCCCGGCTACTCCTCCAAACCGTATTAGAAAACCTGGGAGGGTGGCCTTCAGTGTGACCTGCCCAGTAAACCCACAACGATGGAGCTGCAGTTCTTTCTTCCAGGGTTTTCTGAACTTAACTGGGATGGTTTCACTTGTGAAAAAGCCCTTCTCGATGTTTGCAGCTAAGAATGCTTGCAAGAGGAAGTAGCCTTGAACATTGCCACATTTGCCATCCAGTTCCAGCCATCAGTTAATCTCCTACCCACTGAAAGACAGTTGGCCAGAGCAGGAAGCAACACTGGACTCATGCAACTTTCACTGTAGTAGAGACATTGTGGGATTGGTGGGAAGGCCAAGGAGAAAGTAAAGGTTTGGAGCATCCTGTTGGTCACACAGTCATCAACTCTGCCCCATTCCCTTCTTAGTTTGAATATATGTTGGGTTGTGTGTTGTTTATGAGGGCAGATGGCTGCAAATAGCAGGAAAAATCTGTCACTGTGCCGTGGCAAAGGGACGTTTGGGGTGTTTCTCCCCACATGGAGAGCCTAGAGGTAGGGGTTGAGTCTCGGTACAGTGCATGTCATCCTCCGTCCTGCTCCTGTCCTCCTCTCATTGCTGTGCAGGCGGCTTGTTGCCCTGTGATGACATCACTGCTGCTGCCCGGGAGGCTGGGGAAGGAAAAAGGTAGAAGGATGAGGTGTCAGAGGCTGTCCAGAGTCTCCCTCTTTATCCAGAAACGCTAGCAATGCTCTGGAAGACTTCCACTCTGGCCTCCCCGCTAGAGCTCGGCGCCTCCCCTCCCTGGGCCAATCACAGGCCAGAGAGAATGAGGTGAGCAGGCTGAATTTAGATCAGTTTGTCCTTTGGGCTGGGGTAGGGGCCCGGCCACTTTCAGGAACCCTTTCGGGTTTTATTAGTAGGAGTGAAGGAATCTATGCAGCAGATGCTGCCAGCCGGAAATTAAATTGAAGATGTAGACACTGTCGTAGTAGGGAATAGCCATCTATTTGGTGATTTTTATTTGACCTAAGCTTTATGTGATTGACCAACACAATTCCTTTCATTGACCAATTCCTATTATCCTTGCATAGAAATCCTACTAATATGTAACGCCCTTTATTTCTATAAAAACTTAAGATCATTTCCTCATTAGCATTCATGTTGTAAAATTCATTAGGAGTCATACACACAAATTCAGTAGAAAGTGCACACAATCACTGTGTGTGTGACGTCCAGTGAATTTTATAAATCGAATGACGGTAGGCAAACGATCTTAGGTTTTTAGATACAACTGAAATGTAAAGATACAAATGTATGTACTTTTTTTTTTTAAAGGAAGACCAAAAAAAGTCATGAAATCTGCAGTTAGAACTATTTGCTTCTGTTGCAAAGGAAGTAAATACTTCACCCTTCTCCGTTCCTCCTGTCCGGCGCATTCCACTTCTGTCAGCCGTTATCAGGAGGCCCTGGCCACCAGCACCCCCACTGCGCTGAGGAATGTGAATGTGATGGGGAAGGATGGTGGCAACAGATAAAAATAATGAGTCAAACTTAAGCCTAATGATAGGCTATTTTTTCTCGCACTTAATTACATAATGGAGAAACTTTTTCTCTCCTTATGATCAAAATAGCCTGCTATTTATCACACTGCCATTAAGGATTTAATTACTAGTGACTGAGGAGGGCGATTTGCAGGAACCTAAAATTATGGCTAATCTCTGAGAAGAAAAAAAAGTAATTTAGTGCTCAGATAAGATAAATATGTTCTCGTGTTGATTTCATGAATAAAGCAAGAGTTTAATGTGGGAGGCATTAATATCTAAGAGTCGCAGCAGCAAAACAGGGAATTCTGAAATAACTTCCCTTAATATGATTGTGCCTGGTTATGTCTCAGGTCAAGTTATGCTGCTCCAGTCAGGTAAAATCCGCAGTGAACACCGGTGTGCAGCCTCAGTATGAATGGCGTCCTCTGAGGACCAGGTGGTGTACACAATTACCAGGCACTTTTCGGTTGTAATTAGGGCGACAGGGTACTTTATCATGGGCGCTGGGATGCTTCTCCCAGCCGAAGTATTTATAGTCTCGGGTAGATGAACATGGCTCTGTTACAGGGTGGTAGAAATTTTAGCAAGTTATCTCCATCCCCTCAACTTGTCCCGAGTTTTGCCTTCCCCACTTTCAGATTGTGCAGCAATTAGTGTGACGACGGGATGACAAGTTGGGCCCTGCCCCATATTTCTTGGCTTCTTTTGGTGACTGTGTTCAGGCCAGGTCTTCCCCCCGGAGGAGGGAGTGTTGCATTTTACTCCTGAATTCCAGGGAAGAAATGAGCGTGCTCAGCTAAGCCCCTCTGGGCTTCCTCTGGCTGATCTGCCTGGTGGCAGCCAGGGGACAGACGATCTCCACCTGGCAAACTTTCTGGGCTGATTCTGCTCTTGTGGGGGTGGGGGTGAGAGGTGCTCATAAATTGGGCAGGTTTGATTTGGGGCAATTAGTCAGTAACAAAGCCCACGACGGACACAGTGTGAGGCCCTCCCTCCAATCCAGCACATCTAGGTAAGAATGGAAATAGTAATCTCCATTTGTCCAGTTGCGGCCTCTACCTCTTAATGTGTCGCACATTTTCTGATGCCTGCTTGGTTTCTACCTTGAGGTAGGCAGCTCTTTCTGTTTGACCATGGACTTAACTATTAAAGCCATTGGTTTAAGTACAATGAACTAGGGCCCTTGTAGGTGAGACAGAGCTTGTTGGATGATTTCTTGGAGCAAGTAGGTCCTGTAGTCTGAGAGTCACTGGACACTTGCTTATTCAAGTACAGCCTTCCCTCACTACACTTTATTACCTTTGCAGTTCGGTGCTGGATTTCCATTAAAAATTCACTTATTAGTATATGTTTGTGGTGCATAATGACCACTTTCAGTGTGGCCATTTGGTACATGACGCATCCTAATTCCTTTTTAATGTCTCCTTCCCCTTTTACCCTCCCCCCTCCCTACATGTCCTGGTTCCCTTCCCATTTGCAGATATATCTGCTTTCTTTTTTCTATCTTTTATTCTGTTCTTTATGTATACTTTCGATTTCTGACATGAGAAAAATCATATGGTATTTAAGCTTGTGGGTTTGATTTTATTTCATTTAACACTGTATTTTCATGGTGGATCCATTTTCCTACAAATGACTCTTTATAGCCGAGTGGCACTCCACTGTATTTAAATACCACATTTTCTCTATCCATTTGTCTGTTGAGGGACATATAGGCCACTTCTAAGATTTAGTGATTAGGAATTGTGTTGCTATGAACCATGGGTGTGCATGTGTCACTGTAGAATGATGTCTTTAACTTTTTCAGGAAGATACCTAGAAGGGGAATAGCTGGGTGGAATTGATTTAGTTTGCTTTGAGAATTATTCCACATTTGAATATTCTCTTAAGAAAATAGACTTTACCAACTTAATTCTCTGTTTAGACAAGTATTTTTCTTCTTCGTCTTCTTATGTAGATTATTCTCTTTTTTTAGATCCATTATAAAGAAGAGTATAAAAAGTCTAAGGACAAGTGTACATTTGTGCCTGACACTCCTATGCTCAACCATGTAAAAAATATTGGTGCTTTTATTTCTGAGGTAAGATCCCCAAAACTTTTGGATGTGGCTTTTCTTTTTCTATTTATGTAGATAAAAATCTATGCATTAAGACTGGTGAATATTTTCGAAAGCACCTTTGAATGTTGGTAATATCTAACTTACCTAATTCTGTGTACTGTGTTAATTAACTCATGTAAATTGACTTTAGTATATTTGAGTAGATTTTATTAACCAGTCTATCTATACTTTGACTCCAACCCTTCCTTATTTATACAGAATTATTCTTGAGAAGGGATAATTTTATTCAACAAATAGAAAGCATTGGCAAAATAGTTAATTTTAAACATTTCAACTTACTGCTTTCCTAATGGATGTTTTAGAGATAAAGAATTGAATCTCGTTTTGGAAATAAATAAATTATATGAGCTGATCCCATAAAATGGAGTATCTTTGACTAATAATTTTAAATTAGTATAAACTGTTTTTAGTGGGATAAAATTCAGCTCAACAGAGATATCTATTATGAAACCACAAAGTGAGAAATACACTGTATTCATCTTCCAGCTGAAAAATCATGTAGTTTATTTCTGAGATCATTTAAAGCTGCAGTTGATGCTGTACTGTAAAGCATGTTAACAATAATTTCTATGTGGAGGCATTATTGTAGCCTGTGAATAAACTTGAAAAAGCCAGTTAATAAAATAGCATTGTAAATGACTGACCTCTGCTGTTTCATAAGTTATGTAGGAAAAAGGTCAGTGTGATGCTCTCAGGATTATTTCTGCTAACATGAGACAATTTTGAGAAAAGTAGCACATTTTCTTTTATTATTACCAGCATCTAGAATTGTGGGGGCAAAAGGCTTCCATGGGATATATGCTCAAGGCATGAACCTTCAAATCAGGCTCTGAGCATCGAGGACTCTTCCAGAGCATGGAGGAATATGGTTCTGTTTATTTGTATTAGCTATGTTACTTCTGTGCGGGGAAATTCTTGGTGATCTTGCTCTCTGTGATTGATTAATTTTCCTGACGAGTTAACTGCGGAGCAAAAATTTGCAAGTGTGTGATCTATTACATTCCCTTGAACCCAATTATCCCAAGAGGAAATGGTGAATGAGTGCTCGTCTTTTGGAGTAATGATGGAGCTCACCCAGAGCCGGTGTAGGCTGGGGGTGGGGAGGCTCACACAGCACACAAACACCTCCCACCCCCCACTGCGGCTGCAAGGGATTGAGAAAATTCGAATAAAGAAACACATTTCTTCTTTTAAAAAATTGTTATTTTAATTGCACAAATTTACAGCATACAGTGTGATAATTCAATACATATATACAGTGTGTGATGATTAAATCATGGTGGTTAACATTTCCATCTCCTTAAACATCAAAAAAATTTTATTAGCATGTACTAATTGTACATATTCATGGGGTAAGACATGATGTTTCAGTAGATGTATCAGTAGGTACCGATCAAATTAAAGTAATTAACGTTGCCATGTTGCTATCATTACTTTGTGTTTGGAGCCAAGCTCCTCTCTTCTAGTTTCTTACAAAATATATAACAGATTGCTGTGAACTTCAGTCACCCCATGCTACTGTAGAATGCTGGCACTTATTACTTCTATCTAACTGTTCTGCTACCTATTTTTTTAAAGTTTTACAAAATTTTTTTATTTTTTATTAGTATGTGTGTAGTACAGAGTGGTCACACTCTTTGTGTGGAGTTGGTGCATATACATAACACATCCCAGGGGCTGGGGATTTAGCTCAGTGGTTCCGCTGCCTGCCCCATAACACATCCCAGGGGTCGGGGATTTAGCTCAGTGGTTCCGCCGCCTGCCCCATAACACATCCCAGTTCCTTTTTTCACTCCCCCATCTCTTGATCCCTTCCTATTTGAGATCCGTCTCCCTGTGTCCTATTACCTGGCTTTTATTTTCCTAAACCTTCGCATGGAACCAGAGGAGACCCAGAACAGTAAGCAGTCCTGTTCTCATACCTGTCACCCAGCCTCCTGATGGCCCCTTCCTCAGCCTCCCCAGCCACTGGTGATCAGGTCTGGACAGTGATGACTTGGATTTTCTGGGACAATGCAAGACTCTCAGTGATTATTTCTTCATTGATGAAACATACAGAACCGTCGGTGCACAAAGTAGATTTATTTTTAGAAACGTGTGTGGGTTTAAATAGAAAAGTCATTATATTCTTGCATATCTCATGTAAAGCTTTCTCTACCATAAATGAGATTTATTGCCATCTCTTTTAGAAAACGTTCATCAGATCTAGTATCTAAAAGGAAAATGCTCTGAGGATTTTAAAATCAATTTTGTTTCTAGAGAAAGTTCCTTTTTTACTTTCTTCTCATATTAACAGGTTAAAAAAGGATTTCTTTTCTTTGCTTCTCCCCTAGGCAAAATACAAAGGCAGGATGAAGGCTGAGCTTTCCAACTCTCTTTACAAGCAGATGCCGGCCACCATCGACAGCGTCTTTGCACGAGAAGTTTCCCAGCTTCAGAGTGAGGTGCGGTTTGCATGGATTGTTGCTGCTGATGTTGACCAAGCATGTAACTTCACATCAGTTATTCAGCATTTGATAAGAGTTGTTTGTCTTGGGTGTTAAACACTGGATGCAAATTGGAAGCAACTGCTCATACACTACCAGTAGTCACTGGTGAAATGGCAGAAAATGCAAAGGACATGCAAGTTCATGTCAGTGACATATTTTTCCAAGTCCCCTCCATTCCTATTTATAGAGCTGATTTTAATCTCATTTAGTTTACGTGGATGTTTAATGGCTGCTGTTAAAGGCGTCTGTGATTTAACATATGATCCCCCAGCAGAGAACATTTCAGTAAGGTTGTAAAAGTCACATAAAGAGCAGTTGAATGTGGGACCCACTGTCCTCAAGATCCATCTTTTAGACAAGTAGATCCTAAAATTCCTGCTCTGCAGCAGTGCTTTACACCCAGGGTCACTGAGGCTACCAGAAGAGCCTCCATTAGTGGAAGTGGTGATTAGGGTGATTCCTAGCTGCAGACAGACTTAAGAGTGGTCATTATCGAAACTCGTTTTGAATCCAGAAGAGTGTAGGGGGAATTAATTCCTTTATAGTATACGGACACATGAGTATTCTTAATGTATTTAATCTTTTACATTTCTTAAAACAGAATTTCAGAGTATTTATTGCTTCCGAACTCATTGCTTTCTTCATAGCATAATTGGAGTTTTAATTTTTGCTACTTTATCCATCACTTGGCTCCTTAAGCTTCAAGAATGAGAGCAAGAACCTCAACTGTCTTGTTCCCTGCTCTACTCCTGTACCTAGAAGAGTCCCTGGCACTTGGGGAGTATTCAGTAATCATTATAAAATGGATTTGGTTAGATTTTGAAAGTTCGTACCTGTGTGCAGTACGTAATGTTTACATTCCTTGTGTGGAGTTGGTGCATGCACATAGCTCATCTTAATTCCTTTTTCATCCCCTTTCCCTCCCCTCCTCCTCCCCTCCATCTTTTTTTTTCCTTTTTTGAGACAGGGTCTCGCTATGCAGTTCAGGCTGGTCTTGAACTCACTATGTAGCCCAGGCTGCCCTGGAACTCCTGGCAATCCGCCTGCCTCTGCCTCCGGAGTGCTGGGATCGCAGGAGTGGCCACCACGCCCAGCTTCCCCTCCTTCTCTTCATCCCCTTCCGTTTGAGAAAGATCTGTCTCCCTACTTTCTATTCTCTCTCTTTTATTTTGCTCTTTATTTATACTTTGGGTTTCTCAGGTGAGAGAAACCATGTGATCTTGAAGTCTGTGTGTCTGATGGTATTTAGACACAATGGAGTGGTATTCTAACATAAGAAAATAAACCTGAGTCCTTTGTAGGAAAATGGATGCACCTTGAGACCATAATGATTTTCCTCTTAAGGTTATGCCTCTCTTTGCATAGTTTATGTTCTTCATGCCATGTTGTAGGTTAGTTAGAAGAGTAAGCACATAGAACTGTATGTACATAGACTGTATGTCAGGTTCTGATCTATGCATTTCACATATGTTTATGCCATTTAATCCTCACAATAACCCCCTGAGATTTTCCAATTTTACATTTGTGGAATCTGAAGCAGAGAGTTTGAAGTAATTTTTTCAAGGTCACAAAGCAAGGAAATGGAGAGTCAGCTGGCAAATGCGGGTCGTCTGGCTCCAGAGTCTGAGTCCTTAATCACACACCATTGCACATTTTCCTTCCATTTCTACCTCGCTTTTTCTTATTAAACAAATCTACTTTTTTCTCCAGAATCTTTTTACTTTTAAGTAGAGGATACCTCAACAAGTATAAAATGGCCCCAAAATCAATTACGCTTAAAAATACTGAGCACACTTACTCTTTGCAGAAATCTTTAAATGCTTCATTATTACAAATTTAAACATCTACTGTGTACCCAGCTTGGCAGTAAGCTTATCTCAGCTATGCGACGTGAGGCTAAAAATACATGATGTCAAGGTTCTACATGGCTGGCTGTGACCCAAGTGCCCTTTGTTTTTCCTGCCAACATCTGGTCATCAAGGCTGGTAATACTGAATACTTTATAAACCACATACCTGCAACACAACATTTGATACAGGATGAGCAAGTGTTGTGTTGCATGTATTGCATGATTGTGTTCTGTAGTACACGCATACTTGCCATGTGGAATTTAACATGCAAAATAATCCATATTGGATATTTTGGGATCTTCCTACTGTTTTTGGTCAGAACAGGTTCTCACTGATGTTGTTAATGTGTGTCATCCTAAGATAGAATAGACACTGCTGGGGAGGGCATGTACGTACTCTTGATTTGCAATGGTTTCCATTGGGATGAATCTCTGAACTTCTCAGGAAGCAAAAAATCCAGATCCAATCTAGACACCAAATAAGGTGTCGGACTCAAAGATTTGCAAAATTGCAATGATATTTCTTTAGATTTACATGCATCAATTTTGTTATTTTTAAGAGTTTGTTTCTCTGCGTATACCTGGCAATGAGAGGCAAGAGAGCAGAAAAGCTATTTCCAAGTGTCTGTGATAATTAAACAACTGAACTTCGACTGTGTCCAAATAGTGTCAGATTTATGGTGATGTAATTCAGATTATTAGAGGAATTCTGAAACTTAATGGCATTCTGGGTTTTTACGAAAAGCCTGAGCCTTTTGACGAACAAACTATTATCTTACAATCAACTTCCATATACTTTCAGATGCTTACATTCAAGCTAGTGTGAAAAGGTAAAACTATTTAGATTTATACTTGTAGAAGATGATTGATAGGAAAAATGCCCTCAAAAAAAGAGGGAAAGAGAATCGTGGAGTTTTATTAGCCACACCCTATGAAAAATTTTTATAAGCAAAGATTCCAAAGAAACTCCAAAATAGAATGGACTGTGTTCCAAGAAGTGGTGGGATCTCTTTCAGCAGAACTGTTTCAGGCAAAGGGTCACTAATCTTTTATCACAGACATAGTGTGGGCTGTTCAGGCATCTGGATGGAGCAGCTTCGGTATGTGCTATTGGACCCACAAAGTCCTAGTCTGGAGTTCAGACGTCTATGCTGTGGGATTAAAAACACATTTACCTATATAGTATACACAATATACTATAAGGCAAACATATACATATGTGCCTATGTGGATATGAGATATGGAAACCTTCTAGAAGATGAAATGTGTATGATAAATGTGTATATTACTTATGTAGACAAAATGCTCTTCATTCTTTAGATGTCCAAAATCATACCAATCTGAGTTCTCAAAGTGTGAAGAAAACAATTTGAATCTAGAGAAATATCATGTAACAGTGACAATCCTACGAAATCAAAATTATCAGAAAATTTATTAGCTTGCCATAATTCTCCATTAGCTATTTTAAGGAAAAACTTAATATAATAAATTAAAGTTCAGCTGCCTTTAATTTGATGCAGTCTTAATTCTAAGTGGTACTTAGTAGCAGCTATAAATGAAATGACTATTTTAAAGCTGCAAATAGAAAATTACGTAGCCTTTTTAAGAAAGTGGTTTCAAAAATTGAACTTTATGAGTCACCATTTCTATGATAACTCACACAGTGATCAACTGCATTGGTTGTGTTTATAAGATGACAAGTCTGATGGTTTAAAATACAAAAACACCAGGGAACCATCAAAAAGATCAGCATATACTAGCAGTCTTAAGTTAAAAGGAGGCACAAATCTCATAAAAATTTTTCCTTGGGTTTCTAGGGTTGGCCACTCATTAAGCTCCTGCTTCCTCCCCCAGAGTTATAATACAAAGTGTAATGGAAATGAGGTAATGGGCTTCTTAAGTTCTTGAGAGTCTTCCTGATTAACATTAGTCATTGATGAAAATGTAAAGACATGTTCATCAGAATTAGGCATCTCAATGGAGTCAGTTGATGAATAGACTAACAAGATGTATCATACCTGGAATAATGTGAGGTGCTACATTTGAGTCCTGGTAACCAACCAGATACACAGAAATGGATCTGGGAACCTGGCTAGGAAGGGCTGAATGTGACTTAAATTCATTAATTGACTGAAATCTCATCCTACCCATCAAAAGGAAAACGTTATGACCCATGGATGCATTACTAGCCTTTAGCAGGTGGGAAAGGGTGACCCATATTAAAAGAAATGATTCTGATTAGTTCAGACCATTATGGGCATCTTAAGAAAGGGATGGAGAAATTGGGGTTTGGATGAAGAAGAACATGTATGATGGGGAGTTCAGCCCCTTCCACCATGCAGGCATTCTGGAGGAATGGAAGTCCCTGATGACTTCGAAATTCTGAACTGTGAACTTGACTCTGTGTGGTCAGATAAATGCAGCTATGGGGAGAGGGATTGGGGTTTCATTGAAAGAAGAACTTTCAACCAGAACTTTCAAACTTTAGAGACTGTGATGTCCCAAGTTCAGTTCTCTTGGAGTAGGGGTTTTAAAGAAAGGGAGCTGGAGAGGGCATTTAAGCATTCATGGGTGTACTAGATGGCTGATTTGGGATGGGAAGATCTGATGTCTTTATTGTAAAAATCAGTTTCATAATCATCACTTTAATCCTTTAAATTAGTATATCACCTAAGCTAAATGAGTAGTTAATTCTGTTTGTAAAAGCCAATGTGGAGTGTTAAGTTTATGAGAATATTGAATAAACTCATTTATTCAACCATTCACTAAGCATTTATTGCATTTCTCCTGTGTCATTCACCGTGACAGGCACAGGATATTAAGAGATGTGTAAGATAGAGCAGAGCTCTCCAGGAGCTCATCTTGGTGGAGAATGCTTCCTTCAGTTTGTGTCTTTTTTTTTTTTTTTCCATTGAAAATTAGACCTGTTTTTGTTCTTGCTGAAGACTGTTCTGGTTTTTCTTTTTAAGTTGCCTTTGTTATGCTAAGTAATTCCAACTCCACTTAGTCTACTTTTATTCTTAACCTCTTAGTATATTTAAAAATTAATTTTGCTGCTCCATCCTTTATATACTACTGTTTTTTCCCCACTCATTCAGTGTTTCATTCATCACTTAGCAGATATTCATTGATGCTAATTTTTTGCAGAACACTAATTCTGAACTCTGAGGATTGTTCTAGTAAGGGGATTTATTTATTAAATAAATAATTTATTTAATAAATTATTTATTTAATAAATATTTTTATTTATTTAATAAATATTATTTGTTTATTTATTAAATAAATAAATTGTATAAGTTGAGAGTAAAAACTTGATTGTTGTCTTTTGGATCTTTAATTTTCAGCTCTGTTTTTGAGGTTGGTTATATCTACTTTGGTATCTTTCTCATGCCCCTGCCCTGGCCCAGTGTAAAACAAATTTACCACAGTGGTAATGGATGGAATTAGTGTGATGTTCAGATCCCCAGCAGGGGATACAGCTTGAAATACCTGAGAATTTTTCTAACTTATTATATTTTCTCCCAAAGGTTTGAGCATTTAATGAGGTTTACGTTATATGATAGCTATGCCCACATAAAATCAGAACCTTTCACTGAAAAATAAACAATCTGCTTTTAAGTATTTTATAATTTCCCTCAGCCTGGTCAGTTGTTTTCTCAAGATGTAAAACTTGAACATTTATTACGGTGAAAACTTTCAGATGTGGAAGATTTCCCAAAACTGTATGTAAAGATTTAGGCTAGATGAGTAAAAATGGAGATTTCATCTTCTGGTCAAGGACATTTTCCATTAAACAACAGTGTTAAAATTATGAATCTAAACTGAAGCACTGCAAGGAGATCATTATGTATATTGTCTTGGTGCTTAGACTCAGGCAAATTTAACTGTTGGTGGCATTTAAAGCTGTGAAATTCTAGCAGAACACTGAAGAGTAACAGGTAAGAATTTTCTATGCCACTAAAAGGAATGAATAATTATTTGTGTGTTTTAAGGTTGCCTATAAGCAGAAACATGGTGCTACCAAAGGACTTTCAGATTACACCAGGATGAAGGAGCTGCCTGAGGTCAAACACGCCGTGGAGGTCACGAAACACCAAAGTGACGTAAGAAAGCTTATTCCTCACAGTTTCCTGGAAAATTGTAGTTAGCACACTTCAAGACTTATGATTATTTTATTGAAATCTAAATATGACCCACTATTCGAAAATAACTTTAGAATTTATCAGTGCAAGGGTGCATCTGGATTATTCTGATGATAGTCACTGAAACCTTGTGGAATGTTTCTAAATTGTCAGGCATTGAAAATTTTGCTTTGAAGAAGATAAATATGGATAGTTTGACCCATCAGGTTATTAGTGATTCAGAGCTTCTTTGACTTGATGCTAAGGCTCATGGTCCCCTAGCCTGGAATGGAAGAAATACTGGGAAAAAAAATCAGCAGTCAGTGACCCGGGAAGGATCATTCAGATATGAGCTAGACTGCACCTTAGTAAGACCCAACAGATATGAAATATAAATGGATCAGATGACTAATAGCTGATTGCGAAGCAAAAACCAGGGGAGAGAGGATAATCTGAGGAAAACAGAGTTCCTCTTTGATTACAAGTACCCCACCCCATCAAGGCTTCCAAGGCATTTGGTCAGTCACTGCCACTATCCTGTTGGTCCTGGAGAATAATTTCTTCCTGGAATTATAGCGAAAGCTTGTCTGCCTCCTCCGGAAGAATTCTCTGCTCTCCAAAAAAGATGTCAGAACTCATGGTCAGGTTCTTGCTGGGTTAGAGCCAGTTCACAATGCCTGTCCCTGCTGGGTCAACAAACTTCCCTTTCAGAAGACTGCGTTTGTCATTTTCATCTCACACAGCCTGGCCCATTCCTTAGTCCTCCTGCTGAAGGCACTTTGCCAACTCTGAGCCTCCAAGGCCCAGTTATTGCAATGTCTTTCTGCAGGCTGACAAAAATAGGTTGATGTTTAAGTAGAAACCAGAGTGAGGATTGACATTCTAACCCAAATGTATACATCTGGCCATATCAGAGCACTTTTCTAGGATCATTTGGGACTGACAGGAGTTGAAGAAGCTATGTGTCTGCATTTATTAAGCAGGGTTATTATTGTAGGGGGAGGCTTTGTAAGAGCTGTTTGCTTACAGAATGACTATAATAATCATAATAACCACCACTTACCCGGCTCAGTCATGCGCCAGGCACAGTGCCAAGACTTTGATCATTTTCAATTCTCACAGAAACCCTGTTCAGATTCCCATTTTGTAGATGAAGAAAATAAAACTAAGGAATCAGAATCCTGAGTTCACTCTTTCTGTTGTACATCACTGACTCTTTCCTAAAGGTCACTGGCAATGAGTCAAGATTTTAAATAAAAATTTAAAAAGGAAGAGCATTCTAAGTCATCATCAGAGTTCCAGTGTACGACAGGGAGGAGTAACCGAGACACCCTGAGTTCCCACTCTCGATGCTGAAGGGACCTTGACTTCATAGAAAAGGCCCGAGGGTTAGGGGGTAGGCTGGTGGGCTGGGCTGGGGGCTGGTGTCACGCAGATCCCCGGTGGCCCTTTCCAGCTCTAGCAGTCAGTGAAATTCAAATACGGAAGTTCCTTATCATAGAACTGGGCTTCTTATTTTAACTCTGCCTTTTCTTTTAAAAGGCCTTTGATTGAGGGGTTGAGGGAATTGAGTATAAAGCTCTTTTCTCCTCCATTCAACACTGTGTACTTGTGGGAGAAGACGTGTTTACTTTACCCCTCTGCCACTCGCTCAACCTTTACATGCCAAGTTCATCCGTATAATAGTATTTAGAAAGCGTTTAAGACTATTTGCTCAGATTTAAAGTGAGAATGATATTTGTATTCTACCTGTGGAGGAGCTGATATCCCTCCAGAGTCAAGCTACTTAGAATAATACATATGTTGTCCCTACAGTATGAAATTTAAGCGCAGATTTTGAAAGCTACAAGGAAAGCTAGTATGGACATTCTTCGTTCAGTTGGTCGTTCTACAGAATCGTCACAAAAGGCAGACAAAACCCCGTCTCCCATAAAACTTCAGCCCAGTAAAACCCAGAGCAGAGGCTTTACTAGTAGAATTACTCTTTTGTAATGTGGAATGTCTCTTTGCACTTGGCTATGAGTGGCTTAAAGGTACAGTGTGCCGTCATATGGGAATTTGATTAACCTAGAAACAATGACAATCAACATCTTTGCTTTTTGTGCCCCCCCCCCGCCGGCCCTCCCCCTCTCCTGCCTTCCTTCTCTTTTCTTTGTAGTGCTAGAGATGAACCACGGGCCTCCACACAGAGCCACATTCCCAGCCCTATTATCTTCTCGTATTTTGGGACAGGGTCTCACTAAGTCAGTCACACAGTGACTCTGGCTGGGCTTGGACTCTCAGCCCTCCTGCCTTGGCCTCCCAGAGTGTGCCTCGTATCGTTATCGTGTGTCCACCACATCAAGTCAGCTTTCAAAGATCTGTTAGTGAACCAAGAAACCAGGACAGCTGTTGTTCAGAGCTCTTAATTTTTGCCTTTAATTCTTGGTCGTGCCTTTTATTAGAATGGTCATGAGGGAGCCAGTGATTTTTCATTCATTGTCATTCTCTCTCTTATACTTTTAAGAATGTGAATGAGCAGAATAGGATGGGAGAGAGGATTCTTTGCAACTGTCCAGCTGAATCCTCACCTCTGAATAACTGAGAGTTGATAAGTAAAAAATAACCTGGGTGAGCAGTCTCTTGTGTCACTAAAATTCAGTGTTCACAGAAAAGAAAAAAAATGTTTTTCAGAGTATCCTTCACTACTGCATCTGTTTTAATTGTGGGTTAAATGCTTACTTTGCCAAGTGGCAAAATATGTAGATGACCCTGCACAAGTTAATATATCTGAATCTCTGTTTTCTGATCTATAAAACAAGGGCAATAGTATTTACTCCTCCCAGGCTCCCTCACATAGTAAATGAGTTATATATGCAAAGGGCTCCATAGAAGAGCTGCTTCATAGAATATTAGGCTTGCTTGGTTGTCCTCTAGTTTTTATAGGGTGATTTGAGAGTTAAGGGTGAAATCATAGTTGATTTAGAACAACTAAAACAAGTTTAATTTATAGAAGGGCCAAATCAATAGGAAGTTATTATTAGGAAATATGAATTATGTAGGCTAGAAGGGCCTATACAAAAGGTTCCTGGGGCCATCATGTTGATACTGTCATTGCAAAATGATTAAACACAGCCAAACTAAATCCTTCTGTATCTTAAGGGACATATCCTTGCCCAGTCTTTCTAATGTAATTAGAGAAACTGGAGGTATTGTCCTGTGCCTTTCCCCTAAAGATGGGCTTGTAATGAAAACCTCAGTTACAATATTAGTTCTAATCAGTCTTATCAGAGACATGAAGTCCAATAGTTCTGAAGTAAGTCAAATCAATCTTAAGGTTTCATCTTGAGTTTTATGTCCTGTGGTTTGTACAGACTTATGATGAAATTGGAATGGTAAACTTTTCCCAAACTCCAGATTGGTGATCAATTCAGTGTGTTTTAAGAAGTATTCAGCATGGGAAACGAGACCTAATGTTCTTTTCAAGAATGATTTATATGTACTGTCTTAAAAATTAATAAAAACTCCCAGTGGACAAATTTCTGTTCCATCAGAAAGTGAAAAAGCTTAAAGATAAATCAGTAAAATGATATTGGTGTGTTTTTTTGTTTTTGGTACTGGGGATTGAACTTGGGTCCTTGCGCTTGTGCAGCAGATGGTGAAACCACTGAGCTAAATCCCCGGCCCAGTAAAATGATATTGGAAAAACAATTATGGCTCAATGTGGTTTCCCAATGTGAGGTACAATAATAGTGCTTTAGGATTTAGTATTAAAAATAGATATATTAATGTTTTATCTCTCAGCCCTCTTCACACAAGACAGTGGTAGTAATTAAATTATAAATGAGAAACCTTTTATGGACTATAAAATGGGAGTATAAACAATGATAACAATTATGATAAATTGTGCTTAGACATAATTCCATATTTTCCTCTTATCTTCTGGAAGACTGAAAACTTCTCTGTATGCTGAATAGTATCAGATCCTGTATTTACTGATATTTAGAAGGTTTATATTCTCTTATAGAAAATAATGTTCAAATAAGTATAATTAAGATAATTAGGATATTGTTGGGCCGGGGATGTAGTTCAGTGGCGCAGTGTCTGCCTGGCAAGCACAGGTCCTGAGTTCAGTCCCCGGTACCAAAAGAAAATTCTTTCAAGAAATTTAAGATATTGCTCTATGGTAGAACATTTGCCTACCATGAGGTTCTGGGTTCCATCTTCAGCAGTTCTCAATAAAAGAATGACATTTCCACTTCTCATTTCTATTTAATGATCCCTTTCCTCGAGAAAGATTGAACTTGGGCTTCAAGACTATGACCCTGTACATGTTATACTGCTTGCTTCTGCTCCCCATCTATCCTATCTCGTTTTTTCTCACCAAGAATCATGTCAAATTCCACCAGAGCAACAAAGGGGTTGGTTCTGGGCCAGCGTGTTGGTTTCCGGTGAGTACTGTGCTTGGTCTACAGGAGCCTGTGGGAGGCAGCTCTCTTGGAGGCAGCCATTCTCAACCCGCAGTCTCCTCGCCTCGAAGGGATCGCCTTTCGCTTTCCCATCTCTGGCGGCCTTGCTTCTCTCTAGCTTATTAAGTCCCCTGCCATGGAGTCTCATCACCATTGTGTAAAGGTACAAAGCTTATGAGAAGATCCCTGTGGATCCCGTGACAGAGCACTTGGAAAGCAAAGGCATCTGTTCTATTTTTTTTTTTTTTTTTTTTTGGTACTGGAGATCGAACTCGGGTCCTTGCACTTGCAAGGCAGGCGACGGAACCACTGAGCTAAATCCCCGGCCCTGTTCTATTTTTTAAATCTCGTAGGCGATCCTTTCCTGGCCAAGTCTAACCCATCCCATGGTGATTTAAGGAAAGGCATGCCGGAGAATGTTGCCGTAGCCTTGGAAGCGAGCGTTGCTGGAACCCAGTTGCAGGCAGACCATCCAGGGCAATGGGCTGGGGCGAGTAGTCCATGAATGCATGCACTTAAAGGACTTGGTGCCTGGCACATCCGACAGGCTTCAGGAATGAAGGAAACGTGCAGAAGACACAGCTGTTGTGAAACGGAGGTAGCAAGAGTATAAGGAGAGAACAAGCCCAACTGAAAAGAACAATAAGACATGCAGCCAAGGGCAGAGGTGGAGACGAGGAAGGAACTCAAGGTAGATTCTGCTGGGGTACACTTACAGGAGTAACGCGATGCTCAAAAACATTCCAGTCGTTGGCACCGTGGAACTGGCTGAAATCCGTCTGATGTCCATCACCAAGAGTAAATAGCTAAAGTTAAAAATACATTTGAAATAGAGTAGTAAGCGAATTTGACTTAATAGATAGTGTGGTCATTTGAAAAGAACTTTTCTAAGAGTTATACTTTATGTAGTACTCAATAGCCTAAATGGAGACCAGTTTTTAAATATTGTTACTGTACTTCCTTTTCTGGCTCCCTCCTCCTTCTTCTTCCTCTTTTTTCTTTTCCTTGCCTCCTCCATTCTGTCCTGTGCCCTGAGGACAGAGCAGGAAATAAAACATTACAGAAAATGATGTACGATCAACTGTTGGCTATCCAGTTTGTTCCTGTCCTAGGTAGAATCTTTTCCTTTCTCCCTCTTTAGTTGCAACAGTATTTTTAGATCACTGTATTGTCATGAGAAGACTGAAGAATAGAGCTCAGTTCACTGTTCCTGTGTGGTTAGGACTGAAGGCTTGAACTGACTGGAGAAACACACTCAAACTCTCTCTCTCTCTGGATGATACCCTCTCTTCTGCAGTATAACACTGATTCTTCCTGTTTTCCAATGCCATGGATAAACACATGTTGCAGACATTTGAGGAACCTCAGATGAGTTCCTTAAACTCTAACAAGGATACAGGAAGTTAGGTGCAGGAGGACAAGCCCGCTACTCAGGACGCCATGTTGCTGCATCAGGGGTGTTGAGACATCCTTGTTGAGGGTGAAGCTAGGAGCTCACCCCTCTTGCCTGTCCTTATCACAGGGCCCCTCTTCCATGGAACCCCCCACATAGTGGTGTTCTGGAAGATCTCGCTGGTGATTGGCTCCCGTGCTTTTCTCCTGAGCAACTCTGTGGTGCCCTCTTTTTTGAATGCATGGCTCATGTCAATCTTAATATTTGTTTTGAGTCACATATGCTGGCCTCTAATTTGCAATTTACATGGATGATGGGGCCCCATTCAGAGTCCTGCTCCTGCAGCCTTTGTGCTATTCACCTCCCTTCATGCAGTCATTAGGCTGAACAGCATATAATTAGGTAACCCGTGTAAAGCGGAGATTTCTGAAAGGTTGCAGTTCTTTTCAAAAAGTAAAGGTTTCCATTTTTACTCTCATTCTTTTCTAAACAAAAAGACATTTCCCCCAGCGGTTTTTATATGAATGCAGTAAGTTAAGACACAGTTAGTCTTGGAGGTGTGTAATAACCTCCGTTTGTTTTCACCTGAGAGCTGATTTTTGTTTACACAGCTTGTGTTTAACTCAGTGTAGGCTGAGATTGAGTTACCATCACTTGTAGATGAATGTGTTGCTTTTTGGAGCCAATGAAATTGGTCTATTTTAAAATCCCCAAAGACTTAAAATTCACCCAACAAAATAACTCACTTTCTACATTATTTTTATGTTTCTTTTCTACCTGTGTGCATAAAACTTACCTGAAACTACTTCTTAAGGCAAAGCCTAAGAAAATATAAATACTGAAGAAAACAGATGTTCTTGCTAAAATTACTAATTGTGTTTAAGATGTGTTCAGTTGTCAGATTCATGATTGCAAATGTGGTTTAAAAATTGTCTTGGTGGAAGGGCGGATGCAAGCTCATAAAAGAGTAAATAAAAGTATATATTAATGTTTCATTGAAATAAAATAATACATAAGAAACCTATTGAAGTATTAGTGCATTATCATTTCTTAGAACCTGCTAACTATTTTGAAAGAAAGAAGAATTGGGAATTTTTTTTTTTTAACTCTGCAGGGCTGAAAGGAAAATAACAAGATAAATCAATATTACCTAGGACGGGCCCGGGGATTTAGCTCAGTGGTTCTGTGCGCCACCTGCCTTGGAAGCGCAAGGTCCTGAGCTTGATCCCTGGGCCTAAACATAAGATAAAAGTGTTTGGCATTAAAAAAAAAAATATTACCTAAGCCACTGGTTTGTTGTGATCATGTAGGGGATTAAAACCAAATTGTTAGCTGGATGTGGAGCACATGTGGAGCACATGTCTATAACCCTAACTGCTCAGCGGCTGAGGCAGGGAGATTATGAGTTCAAGACCACCTCGGGCAACTTAGCAAGCTTCTATCTCAAAATAAAACAGTTTGAAAAAGGAAAAGGTATGTCACTTAGTGGTAATGTGCTTCTGAATACAGTTTCCATTACTGAAAAAGAAAATCAGATTCCTGGCCCCATTTAAAAAATTCTGTTCCAGAGGAGTATGAATGGAGCCCAGGGATCTAAATTTTTCACAAGTAGCCCAAATAGTGCTATTGAAGAAAGTATGTAGACAACATTGGAAAGACTTGGTTTGTACAAAATGTGATTAACTGTGCACTTTTTACAGGTCTCCAGTGGTTCATATTTCTGTGTTCTACCTCTCTCTGAAAAAAAGGAAGATAGATTTTTAAAATGGTCATCCCCATCCATATACTTTCCATTATAACTTGAACAGAAGACTTTATTATAGGAAAGTCAGCCAGCCTCTGAGGATGTTGCTGGATAGAACCACATCTGGCAATCACTGCCTTGGCTCAGGACAGATTTCAAGAGCCAGAGAGGTGAACAGATGGGTGAGCTGTTGACCATCAGACATTCTGTCAGTTTAATTCTGGTTTCTCCTCCCATTTGTCATTCAAGCTAATGTAAACAACACGATCTAAAAGACTTTCCATTTGGCAAACCTTAGATACTTTTCCCTTTAAATCTGTACTTTCCATCCTTTGGCTTGGTTATATCTAACATGCATTCAGAGAGAGGATATTCCTTAGTGTAATTGTTTTTATTTTGGGAGGGTCAAGTCATGGAAATCATATGCATCAGAGTAAAACTATTGGTACCCATGACTTGTTCTGTTAGGCATAAACATTTGAAGAATCCAGTTTGGGGCCGGGGATTTAGCTCAGTGGTTCTGCTGCCTGCCTTGAAAGCAAACAGAAGGACCTGAGTTCAATCCCCGGTACCAAAAAAAAAAAAAAATCCAGTTTGGAAAGGGAGAAAAGGATGTAGCTGAGAAAGTTGCAGAGCTTCACTGCCTCCCCTCTCCAAAGAAATGATCTTCAGTATTTGTGAGCTGGCTTAATCTGCATCCCCTGGAGTTGAGGATGTGTGCAGAGCAAGCAGAAGTGCTTGATTTGGATATTCTATGAGTGACTAGAAACATACACATTTAGAAACAAAGGCGTGCTAATAGAGAGCTGTATACAAAAATCCTTTAAGACTAGTTCTGTGCTTCATTCTTGTATCTCTTAGGTAGTATAAATTCATTTCAAATATGTTAATGTTAGTGAGCTAATGATATAGTATAAAGATCTAATATGTCAAAATGAATGTTGGACATCAAAACATGAAAAAGCAACTTAAGGTCACTAGGCTCTCTAAGCTTGTGTGGCAAAGAGAAATAATATTACGCAAATGAAGGCTAGTGGCTACATGAAATTATTCATTTTTTCTTCAGTCTAAACTGTCTCTTTGATCAGATTTCTTACAGGAAAGATGTACGGGACACCCACACGTACACGGCAGAGCTCGACAGGCCGGACATCAAGAAGGCAACCCAGATCTCCAAGATCATAAGTGATGTAATTTGTCTGTCTTAATCTTGTATAGAAAGGATGTTTTTTATTTTTGTTAAGAGACAGGACACCACTTTGGTAGTTGGATGGTTCATTACTGTAATCAATCCATCTGAATTAATGACCTCTCAGTTTTCCCCTGAATTATCCGTTTGATTATGTGAATTATGTGGGTATATCATGTGACTCTGGCAGGTGATATACTCTTAAAAGAATGAAGTACTGTTTAGATATAAGATCATATTCAAATGTCTCAGCATGAAGGTCAGCGTCGTGAGTCTTCTGAGCCCATGTAATGTCTCACCTCCTGATCCGAAGCCCTTTAGCTTGTTCCCATCTTCTTGTGGTTAATTGTGCTGATGCCGCTCCACCAACACTCACCCTGTACATTTCCCGAACAGCACGTCTGTTTTTATTTTTCCTAACATACCCTCCTTAGTTAATACCATTTTACTTAAACATACCCAAAATCCTGGTAAAAATGATGATTTTACTTAAACGAAATATTGGAATAACATAGGCTGTATACATTTTAAAAATCAATAATTACCAAACTCAAATGCACATTAATCAGAATGATCAGATCGGTTCTTGAGAACAAACAAAACTATAAATGCTACCTATATGAAGCATACAGGGTCTCAATTATCCGGAAATTCCCCTAACATCTATTTTTTTTAGTATCTGCAAATAAATATGGAGATGACAGTGACTGAATACTTAAGGTTCAATGTTAGTTATTATTTTACTGTGAAAAGTCAAGTTTATTTAAATAGCTGCAATATCAAACAAAGTCCTGTTTTAGCCATCATTATTTTAATATTTGATTTGTTATAAGGAATATTTTTAATGGGATAAGAGTATTTTATTTTGACTGATGGTTCTATAATTCTTCATTGGAAAGTAGGATTATTTCATATTTTCTTATTATTCATTTTAGGCAGAGTACAAGAAAGGGCAAGGGATAATGAATAAAGAGCCCGCTGTAATTGGAAGGCCAGATTTTGAACATGCCGTGGAAGCATCTAAACTTTCTAGTCAGGTAAGACTCCAGAGTGATAATTCCACAATGACTGTATTCAGAGATTCTGTTTCTAGGAACACAGAAAAATATTTTGTTTTAGATAATATCTTTAATTGCAAGAATAAACAGAGATAATGTTTCTGAAACCATTTCAGATAGGATTGCAATAATTACAAATTTCAGTAAGGGAACAAAAAATCAGTCCAATTTTCAGCCTAGAACAAAGTTTTCCCTTCTCCAGGCTCATATCTGAACCTGTTTCAATGAGTTTCATCATGATGTCACATTTCTGAGAAGTTCCAGAAGTCAGTAACAGTTACACCAAAGAATTGTATTCCTATTTATACATTTACAAAAGTATACACGTACAGTTTTAAACTTAGTAATAAAAGTAGTTTCTCAATTTTCAATTATTTTAATCAGAAAATAAAACAAAGATGATAAAAATCTTACTAAAAAGCATAAAATAAGACTTGAAAAAAGCATAGGGACCCGAAAAATATGTAGGTTAAGTGTCCCAATAGATAAAAATTTCAGTTCTCTATAATTATCATATGAATGTCATGCAATTTCAGTTACTATTCAACAGTTTTTTTAAGTTGGATTAGGTGATCTTATAGTTTGTATGGAAAGGAATCACTGGAGAATAGCCTTTACAAGTATGAAAATGAAGATCAGTGAAGGGGAACTTAAGTTATGAGTTACCATAAGATGATCAAAAACCATTGAAATTAAATCAATATGGGATTGGTATAGTGAGAGGTAAAATAATCATCAGGATAGGACAGAGTCCAGTAATAAATTCCAATATTACAAGAATTTATGATAAAAGTATTGACTCAAATCAGTGGGAAAAAGTTATATGAGTTCACAAATGTTGCTGACATAACTGGTTGTCTATCATGGTAAAAACAAAATTGGGGTCCAGATCTTGAATTGTATGCAAAAATGAATTCCAGGTGAATTAAAGGTATGCATGCAAAGAACAAAATTTGAAATGTTAAAAGCTCTGGGAGACTCTCTGTGTATAACACACAAGGGCAACAGAGTTGGGCTTAAATAAAACTGGAGAATGAGAAAATGTAAAAGAATAGTTAGCACATCAATTGCATAAAAATTAAAACCTCTTTCCATGGAAACAAAGAAGACTGATAGACCAGAAAAAAAGTGGAAAATGGGATGAGTAGACATTTCATAAAAGAGCAAACACAAATGCCCACTAAATATGTAAAAAAAAAAATGCTCAAATTAATTAGGAAAGGAAATGCCAACTAAATGAGAGTGAAATGTCATTTGTACCCATCAGCATTCTGTCTTCTGTTAGTGAGAAAGACAGCATTAGGAAAGGTTTTGTGGGAGAGTAGCTCTGAGCTAGGCCTTTTAAAGGGGGAGCAAGCTGTGCTCAGAGTGAAGCCCCAGTAAAGGAGAATTCCAGCAGTAGTGGCTCCAGGCAAAAGATATGGATTGTGAATATAAATGGATTTGGAAAGAGTTTGATGAGAAGTGGGTTAGTGCTCCATTGATTTTGACTGTAGCCATTACTTTAAAGAGTAGGAATCGTGTGTGTGTGTGTGTGTGTGTGTGTGTGTGTGTGTATGGTACAGCAGCATTCACTGTGTTTTTGATTATATCTCATAAAGACCCTCCTGAAAGAACACATCCAGAACTGCTTTGGAAAGTGGCAAGAACAATGAGATAAGTGTGTTTGAAGTGAAGGGGTGAATTTTCAGAGAGATTGACAGCAATGTATCTTTTACAGTAATAACATTTTTAAAATTTAAGCCTTCTCTGCAATTTGTGATTATATTTCATACATATGTTAACTTTATTTTTTGTTGTAGTAAAATGCTCATAAAATTTACCATGTTAACCTTTTAAAGTTTAGTGGTAGTAAGCACATTCATAATGTTGTGTTCCTGTCACCACCGTCCACTTGGAGGGCTCTTTTCACCCGTAAGAGTGAAACCCTACGCCTGTTACGTGACAACTCCCCAGCTCCATTCTTTTGAGAATAATATGTGCTGTGAAAGAAATGGTGAAAGGAGACAGTGGTTTCAAAATGTTAATTATGGTGAGCATTTTAAAGTTAGATTCCAAGAACAACTTATCACAATTTAAACTGTAGCCTGCCAGCCTCCACTTTTAGGTAAAAAATAAGTAGTTACTTCACTGAAAATTATGAGCAAGGAAAAGTTGTGCAGATGTTGTTACTCCAGGAAGGTTAATGTAGCAGCAGTGTGCAGAAAGCCTGGCCTTGCAAGAGGTAGAAGTCCTGAAGGCCAGCTGGGCTTGGCTGTGATCTGATCACATGTGAAGTGATTGGCCCTAAAAGTCTCACTATCTGTGGGCATGAAAATGAAGCAGAGAGAAGGGATCTGTAGGAGAAGCAGAAATGAGAGACTCCTGAATGTAACCGTGCCTCACACTAATAGCTTTATGGTTTGCAAGGCACTTTTCCCTGTTAAACAACATCGTGGCTCCGGAGGCTGCTGATGTGCAAGGTTGAGGATGCTCTTGGGTGACTCTCATTAAAGGGCCAAGATGGCACCGTGTGTGATTCCAAGCGCTTTGCATTCAGATAATGCTTGTGGAAGAGATGGGAGATCTCCACAATCCATCCTAGCTGCCGGACTTCTAACAAATCTGTGCTTTTCGGAGAGTGAAGGCTTCCCATCAGGTATAGAGGGGTCATGGAGGAATAGTCGGGTTTGGTTTAGAGGTCAAGAGAGTGGGCTCTGGAGCAGGGTCACTGGGGTCAGACCTGGGTTCTGTTGCTGGCTCCCAGAGACCTTGGACAAATCGTGTTATTTCTCTGTCTTCAGCCCCTCCATCTGTAAATGGGGCTGACACCAATAGAATCTGCTTCTCAGGATCACGGCTTTGAGGACTCAGAAGTGGTGCCTGGCCCCTGGATTGCATAACTTCATAGGAATCAGTTTATTTTGGTGCTCAGGGTGTTTTTGATTCTATTTCGCAGATGAATTTATACACAGCAGGGAGGAAGCAAAGGAACACTTGACTTAGACTGTGGCCTTCAATTCATTTTTCCCCATCTGATTTGAAAGTCCTTGTAAGAAAACTTGGACATTTGAGCTTTGAGTTTTATTTTGCAAATTGTCTCTGAAAAAAATCCTCCTGCTTGATCTCTGTTTGGGTTTTTAGGTAGATTTTCTTTTAATCTCAAATTATAGCAATCGAGTGATCAGACTCTTAGGCAGATGGTAATTTGCGAGCTGGAGTATACCATCATCTTTTGGTGAAATTCTTACTGATCTTATAGTGTAGAAACTCCAGAAAATCCGGGCAGATGGATAAACAAAAATTCTAGAATGACCTTGGTATGTTTCATTTCTGTTCACAGGTGTGTCACCTTGAAATAAAGGCAGAAAGTATAGTTTCTTACTTTCACTGACGACTGCGAAGACTGTGTATTCTATGTATACCTAAACCAATGGCAAAGGCACATAAATACATAGAAGGCGAAATGATTTAGGAATTCAGTAAGCAGGGAAATAGGGCAGGGGGTGGGGAGGAAGGACACAGGAAGAAAAGTGCAAGGTAGCACCCGAAGAATTGTAAGAGACCAGGCCATGGCAAGGCAGTGGTCATGGTATGTGGTAGTGGTGGTGAGACGTGCTTGATGAAAAGATGCCTCGCAAAGCCAGTGGGTAAGTTGGCTTGCACTACCTGTAAATTGAGCTCTGTGGGATTTTACTCACAAAAGCTAATGGAAACAGACCCAGCACTTCTTGTGTTAACTCTTACGGTAGCTTTGGTCTCATGGTTGTAAACTTTCCCTTTTTAAATTTGGAAGACATAAAATTATGGTCAAATGATTAAAATAATCAGTAAAAAATAAACCTAAAGTCTCACGTGCTATGAAAAAGAGATTGGCTTGTATGTACCGCCAAGTAATAACTGTTAAAGCCACCAACTTAAAACAACTCTAGAGTGGTTAATTTATTAATATATTCATATGGATTTTTTACTTGGAATTTACATGATGAGTGAATTCTTTAGTTTTATGACATCAGAAAAAGCTATCTATAGTACAGTGGTACCTCAGCTCATGAACACGTTTCTTTGTGAACAATTTGGTTTGCAAACAGAAGCATTTGGCAAAACTTTGTTTTTGTCTGCAAACTCTGCATCAGGTGACAAACCTGACTGTGGCCATCTTTCCCACAGGAACGTGACTGCAGCCATCTTCTTCAGAATCGCAGGATGAATTAAGTTCGTGAACCAAGGCACCACTGTATTTTATAACTATCATTTGTGACAGCAAACATTGCATTTGTTCTATGAAAAAAGAATGGGTTCTAAGTCTAAAAATTACATTGTGGGTTGCTATAAAAATTTAGCAATATTGTGCTCACTTCAGCAACACATACACTAAAAATTTAACAATGGATATTGTCCTTAAATTGTAAAAGGTATTCATTGGTTTGGGAAATCTCCCAGTCTCCTTTCCTGGCACACACCCTGCCAACCCCCTCATATCCAAAATATCACTTAAATGCCACCTTCCTGATTTGCTGATGTAAATTGTATCTCTCTACTCTCCTGTGTATCTCTGTCCTTTTTCTATAAAGCTCTTGACACAATTCAGAGTGGTCGTATATATGTATACATGTGTGTTTTTAGTAGGTAGGCTTCTGTATCTTTGATCCATCATTACAGAGTGGCGCAAATTAGGCTGTCAAATATATAGAGACTGATTAAACACATCCTCCCTGTATTATTGACATTTGGTACAAACTCAGGAAGATGTTATTTTTGTTATGAAAATGAAGGCAGAGATAGTATTTTGAGTAACATTCAGACTTAAAAATATGATTGATTTTTATCATGAGTTTTAATAGAAATGTGTTTGTACTGTCTTCTTTGCCCATTTGTAGTTTATTTTCATCCAAAATTAGGGATGATTTATACATATAGATATGTGAAGATGTGTTATTTTTTACTTTTACATTTCAGGGGTAATTAAGGTGTGCTTAGCAAATTTCAGTTTCCTAATGTTAGCTTCTGTGGCTACCCAGAACAGTTCTCTTCCAGGGTGTACATTTTCCCACTTTTTCTGGCTCTTGGTGGGCCTGGATCATAAGTGAGATCATGGAGAAGTGGGGCACCTCTCGGGGCGGGAGCCTTACTGGGTTAGAAGTCGTGCTTCACGCCAGGGTGACACTGGATCTGTCCAGTTGCAGTTACGAGGACTAGTTTAAATGAAATCACTGAAGCTTCGCAGTCGCAGCCTCTGAAAGTCCCGCCAAGGTTAAAATTCTTTAGAAAACTTGTAGGCATTTGATTTAAAATGATATCATTTTACAGTTAAATTTTTAAAATGATTTCAGAACCACTAGGTATGATATTCATGATGTAAATAAAGCCAGTCATATGGAGTAAAAGTAGCTTCATTGGTTTCCAAAATAATTAATCTGGGTATAAGCAGAGAAATTTTGTCTAAAAACCACTTATCTCTCCCTTTCTCAAATGGTGTTGAAAGTGGAAGAGCTAGGCATCATTCGTGCATGGATGGGTAGCCAGTTCCAGTCAAAGCAAAACACCACCAGGATCTGCAGGAGGCTGAGTGTGGATGAGGAGGTATGGCTGCAGGTTGAAAACAGGACAGAGGCTAAGTGTGTTTGTGTCGGTAGCCAGTGAGCCAGTCAGAAGGGGAGAACTGTGACCCGCTTAAACCCTCCGTCCTTTTCTTAGTTCATGTATGCACAAACCTTACGGAAAGAGCGAAGCAAGAGACAGTTATGTGTTTGTGTCTGGTCAGTATATGTTTAGAATAATGCAGTTACTTTACTTTGCTGTTAGTTAATGAGAAAAACTGTATCTTTTGAATTGAAGCTCTCAAACTACTAGAGGTTAGAATGAGATAAAATTTACCACACTTTGTTTATTATTGCATTCAACATATTAGATGAATGACAGATTATTGTTTTTGATAAATACGTTTTCTTGGAGGAGCAAATGCCAGGTTTAATAACTGATAAGAGGTTGCCTCTTTAATTTCCAAATACTGCCACCCAAGACACAGCCTATGTTCCTGGTATAATCATCCTGGGAGCCCCAGTGTGCACAGAATCAGTGCCATGGGCTCCCTGAACACTGACCCTAGAATCAGTTCGTACCCTCCAGCTGATACATAACTAAGACACCCGCCATGCCTGAGGCTGGGAAAGGACAGACCCAAGGAAACTCTGTGCAGGTCAGCATTCCACAGCTGGAGCAGATGGCGAGGTGCAGGTAGCTACCAACTGAGGTCAGTTGGTGATTTCTGGCCACCAGGGAGAGTTTGACTCAGGAAGGGGGTGCGCGGGTGAATCTGGTGGCGAAGAAACATCTTGTAAGTGGATGCCAGTTAAGGAGTCAGCCACCATTGTTGAGCAAATGCCCCGAGGAATCAAAACCAGTCATTAAATGTGGCGGGCAGTACCATAGCAGAGGGCAGGCTGTGTGTTTAGGGAGGGCCAGGCAGGGACAGCTCTTGTGTCTGTGCCAGCTACCGAGAAAAGCAGGGAAGGAAACCTGATTGGACATTTGTGCTATTATCCTTGACTTCAGAATACCATAACAATTTTAAAAAATCAAAATCTTTCTTGTTTTAGAGAGGCTTCACCAATTGTGTAGCATTAATTTACAAGGCCATGTGAGTATCAGAAAGTTATTATTACCAAGTACAACTCCACAGAAGATATTTTCTCCAAATCGTCTTGAAATACTTTCCAAATGCTATGTTCCCACCCCGATTTTCACTAACTCTCTCACATCTCTATTGGACATGGGTCCCTCAAAGAGGCCATGACCTAAGGGGCTTGATTGAAAAAGGTGATATGAGCCACCCCCAGATTGCTGTTTACTAAAGATTTCGGTGCAGCAAGGTCTTAGATGTATGAATAGGCATGCCTTGCAAGAATGGTGCAAGAAAGCAAAAATATTGTAGAAATTGTAATGTAAAAAATACTATATAGAACAAAACAGCTTATTTTTGGCTTTTGAAATCTATACTGCTTTTGGCTGCACAAATCAAGGGAGTGTGACATATAAGTTAAGTTTATTTATTTATTTTATTGTTAAGAGCTCGTATCTATATCCAGTTAATTGTAGTGTATATTCACATATTTATCAGTGGAGAAAGGTACAGTTCTGAAAGATAAAAGTGGATAACCCTTTTTGTTGTTGTATGTCTGTTTAAAAATAAAAATAATTTAGGGCTGGGGATTTAGCTCAGTGGTTTCGCCACTTGCTGCGCAAGCGCAAGGACCCAAGTTCGATGCCCGGTACCTCCCCCCACCCCCCAAAAAATTAGGGTGAATATTAGAGATAGTTTTCCTGCTGAATAAATTGTGGGGTTAAAGCAGAGAAATTAAAAAATACAATAGAGCTTTTGTAAATGCGGAGGGGAAGAAGGGTTGGAGGGAGAACAGAAGGGCATACAAAAAAAGAATTAAGATGTGCTGTGTACATGTACATATTCCCCATGATGAACATGATCATTATGTGCTGCAAACATGTAGTAATAAAAATACGTACGTTTTGGGGCCAGGGATGTAGCTCAGTGGTGCCGCACCTGCCTGGCAAGCACAAGGTCCTGAGTTTGATCCCTGATATGGGGGCAGGAGTTAAAAAGCCCCCTCCCTGCAAAAAAAATGTATTAAGTAGACCCAGGACATATCAGAAATATATTTCCTAAAAATGAATTTTTGAACAAGTAAACTACAGGATGATGAGAAAAACCACACTACAAACTTTGCACTTTATTTGGGATAATTTCCTTAGGTAAATTCATATTCAAATTCTAGGCCCAAGAATCTTTTATGCAAACATGATGGACCGTAAGATATTTGTGGTCTTGAGTTCAGTTGGATTTAGATTTCAGGAGTGTAGAAATAGAAGCTGGCTTTTACAACTTTTGATATTTTAGCGCATAGTTCTCATTAGTAGAATTTGAGTGCATGCCTAATTGCATTTATGATCGGTCTTCAGGTGGCTCATTTAAAACAAAATTATGTCTAATTATGTCTAAAGGGTCATGGATACTACGAACTTAATTTATGCTACCATTCATTTTTTAAGGTAGCTTTTCATTTGATCTCTTTAAAAATCGAATGTGTTACTTTTCATCTTAAATGTGTTATTTAATATACCCTATTTTTTCTTTTGTGACAGGTTAAATATAAAGAAAAATTTGCTAATGAAATGAAGGATAAGAAACATCATTACAATCCCCTTGAAAGTGCTTCTTTTAGACAAAATCAGCTTGCAGCCTCACTGGCAAGTAATGTAAGTTGTGATTCACAGAAAATGACTTTCAATATCTTTTGATTCTTGTTTCCTCAGAACTAACTGTGTTGTAATTACTGAGACTTAATCAAGATCATGTAATTTCCAACTAATTTGTAGTTGAAAACACTAAGGCATATTCTCCTGAAGCATTTTTTGAGAAAAATATATTATTATAATTTACTATTAATGGCTACTGATTACTAATTAGGTAATAAGTAGGAATAGTATTGCAAATAAAATTATTATGTCTGAATAAGAGTAGAAATAGATTATAGAGTTTTGCAGAAGAGCAGTATTATCACAAATTAGTAGGTAGGACAATAATTAACTCACAGTTAGGCCCACAAAATTGGGTTTATTATAAAGTACTACCTGGTACATGGTAGTTTATCATAAAGAAATTTTTAGAAATTATACCTTTAATGACTTATAATTTCATATCTCTCATGTAAGAGCTGTTAAATACTTCTTTGTAAGATTTATTTTTATTTCATGTTTTAGATACATTTGATAAATAATGTTCTAAATTCTTATTATAGTAGGCAGAATATAAAATGGAAACATTGAAAAACTTGATTGCTATCAAAGTATGAAAATTAAATATTATCAAATGGTGGCTCTGTTAGATCATTTAAATGTTTCAATTCCCATCATCTCCTTGGGAATTAGTTTATTTTGCTTTCATTAATGTTTAGAAGATATTGTTTGTGTTCAGTAACCAACTTTTGTTTATTCCTAGCAATTGAAACAGGAGGTTTTGTCTCTTAGGACTCATGGGAACATCAGAATGATTTTTTATTTGATTATTTGTGTGTGGGTACAAATGTAAAGGAACTAGAGATGAAATTTACCCAAAGGAACTTTGAGCCTCGTGCTGAAAGTTCAAGGTTCAAGTCAGATTGCCTCAATTGAAATTCTGTTCCATTGCTTAATATTATGCCCCCGTCTTTCTGTGTCTCTGGCTCTCTTTTGTAAAGTGGGGGTGCTTAAACTACCCACCTACTGGGTTGTTGTGAAGATTAAAGACTTCACATTTATAAAGGGTTAAGAGAAGTCTCTGGCATATAGTAAGTGCTCAACATGCTTGCTATTATTAATATTTTATAATTTTATTACTAGTGTGGTATTTGCGAAGCAGTTGGTAAAAACAAAACCCCCATCAAAAGAGGTCTCTATGGCAACAGAAGGGAAAATACCAAAGGACTAAAATCTTCAGAAAGCCAAATTGAAATACCACAGTGATGCCTCGGTCCTCCCCTCCTTCCTCCACCCCCTTCCTCTTTCTTTTTTGTGGTGCTGGGGGTTGAACCCAGAGCCTTTGTACTGAGATACACCCCCAGCTATCTCTCTCTCTTTTTTTTAATTTTAAAAACTTGAGACAGGATCTCAGTCACTAAATTTTCCAGGCTGGGCTCAGACCTGTGATCCTCCTGCTTCCGCCTCCCAGAGTGCTAGGATTATAGGCGTGTGCTACCACACTCGGCCTCTCTTTATTTCTTGAAAGTTGAGTTTCTGTTATAATAACTTGATTCTGTTGACATCCTACTTTCTGAATATGAAAACAGTAAAAGGAATTAACAGTATTTTCAAGTCCCTAGAAAGAAAAGTTTTTAGCTATTCAGTAGTGAATCGGCGCCATCTAGTGGTTGCTTATAAATTCAGCTGTCAATTGACCGCTACATTGGTAATGCTAAATAATGGCAATAATGCAAAAGCATCTTTTCTTCTCCGAGATAGTATTTTGTTCCATGTCATTTTTGTAGGTGAATTACAAGAAAGACATTGAAAATACGCACGACCCGGTTTCAGATCTCCCAAATTTGTTGTTTTTAGACCATGCCTTGAAAGCCAGCAAAATGCTCAGTGGAGTAAGTGGGTTGTTGACTGGCAGCTGTCCCTGTCGTGTAGCGCGGAGAAGCTGATCTGCCTGCTATGTTCTTGAGCTCTCAACCGCTTCCTGTGATGCCCCTGGCCACCATTCCACTGCCAATGACTAACGCATTGAAAAGTAGTGATCTGCTTGTGTGAACCCCACCAAACTGCCTTTTTCCCCAGGGGGTCCTTGCTATGTAGCTCCTCAGCATCTGTGGAATACAACTACACCTCCAGGAGGTGGGAGAGTGTTCTTTCCTCCAGCATCAGATGAGACTGGGTGCTCCAGAGTGGGCTACGCAAGTGCTTTCTGTCTGTCTTCTCTCCTCTTCTTCATCTGTATTAGATTGAAGCCACTTGAAGTCCAAGTTTGAGAATCAGGGATCTTTTATGTAGGTCAGAATAGAGACTCTGATATTTAGTACGCCTTCAATAGCATAAAAAATCATCTTAGTCTAAATTTTAGTCTCTCGGAAAATGAATCATACAGGTGTCTCCATTTCATTGTCCCATGCTTTCCATCTTGTGATGTCACCTGTGTGCTCTGTCAGGGAGTAGAAGGCGTGTGCTTCATGTCCCGGTGAAAAGAACTGGGTTCAGTGGCCACGTGTCATGTCAGCCCCTCCCGCATCCGGACCCTACGCTGGCTGGTTCTCCTGACTAATGACCCCGGGTCACTTGTGGCTCCATGCTGTTCTTCTCAGGATGCCCCGTGGTGATGGTGAACTCCAGTTTGACCTTGAATAATTTGTTATTTTCATAATGGCTCACTCATTCAAAATTGTCCCAATTTGCTGAATAGGCACAGATTAGATGAAGAAGTGTATGTTGGGAAGGGTTGAGAAAAAGCGAGGACAGTTGTTTCAGTGGATGAGCCTATGGGCATCGAGTTGAAACTGTACTCAAAACTTAGCTCCCAAACTGAAATGATGAGAAGCAGCCTCCGTTCAGCTTTAGAAGGACTGTCTCTGTACTTGGCTTTGATGCGTTGAAACTTCTGTTCATTATCTTGGAGGTCTTGTTTCTTCCACGTCACTCCCACTGTCATCCTGCTTAAAGTGCATAGTGCATATAAATCTTTCATACTCCCAGAGTTTTAATTCACTTTCCTAAAAACTTGCTGGTCCTTGGATTAAAAAGTGTCATTCTTTCCAGTCTGTGAGTAAAAAATGAGGGCTAGAGGTATATTGACAGGCTCAGAATTAGCACTTGGATCCAGGACACTGAAACCCTATTGTCCTTCCCTGCCAGCTTCATCCCTACCTCTCTGTGCACATCCCATGACTCTCGAGTGTCACGGCTTTCTCCACGACTCAGTCATTCTTCTGATTCAGTCTGTTCCTGTCCTCTGAGCTCTCTGCTGTCTTCACAGTCACTTTTTGTCATTGCAGTGGTATCTGCTCTTGCTGATTCCTCATCCATATTCAGGTTAAATTACCTAGGAGCATGGAGATTCATGTGTACATCAGCCAATAAAAATGTCACAGTGGTCATTTAACAACTTGGTATCTGGTAGAATGTATGCCACATGTAACAAAAATACCTGAAATAAACAATTTTAAAAGGAAGAGAGACTTTCTCTGGCTCAGGACTTTGGAGCAGGTCACCCGGCCCCATCATTTCGGGGCATGGATGTGGCAGAACATCATGGCTGATGGGTGCGGTAGAGAAAAGCCACTGACCTCCATGGCAGCCAGGAAGTTCCACATCCTGTGTTTCTGGTGCCTCCCAGCAGCCATCAGGTTGTGAACCTGTCAGTGGACTAATCCATCGATGAGGTCAGAGCCCTCAGGATCCAGTCACCCCCAGAGTCTCATCTCTAAGCAGTGCTGCTTTGGGGACAAGCTTTTCACACATGAGCCTTTAGGGGGACACTTCATGTCCAAACCCTAATACCACTCACAGTCTTTTCAAGAATATTGACTTTCATTTTATAATAATAGTGAAAAAAGTAGTTTAACATAAATTGTTTTCAGCATCTCTTCATTGGAGAAAAATCATCAAAATCATATGTCCAGCTTTTTATTGTGTGTGTGTGGTACTGGGGATTGAACCCAAGGCCTTCTTACTGAGCTATATTCTCAGCCCATTTTTATTTGATATTTGAGACAGGTCTCAATAAGTTGCTAAGTTGCCCAGGCTGGGCTTGAACTTGTGATCCTCCTGCTTCAGCCTCCCAGAGTGCTGGGATTACAGGTGTGTGCCACTATGCCTGGCTTGTTCCACTTCTTTTACACATCATTTGTGCAGATAAAAATCTTCATTCAGGTAGTGCTTTTGCTTAGGTGATAGATATTCATTCCCCTCACAGAAAAATTGTGGCTGGATGTTTATTTTATGTGTCAGAAAGTTTGACTGAAAAAAATGCACTACTTCGAAGTACCTACTTATTGAAATTGTACAATAATACATTGGCTCAAATTTATCATGCATTAGAGAAGTCATCTTTTAAATTTTAATGTAGAGATTGAAATTATCTTGATTTATAAAGACAATTTAATTTTAGTAAAAGGTTGACTAAGTACTCAATAAAGACTTCTGCCAAGATTAGTTGTCAGTTCGTTATAAATAGCTGTTTTTAAAAGACTTCTAGATAGGTGTCTTTGTTACACGTCAGAATTTTTTATTTTAACGGGTAGTGTGTAGGGTGAAATGAATTCCTTATAAACTTCTACTAATGAAATTTTTAAGGAAACACTTTCTTCTGGAAAATGGAGCTTTTAAAGTTTTCAGTTTCTCTTACAACTTTACATAAATTTTTAAAAAAATATAAATGTATATATAGTGTGTTATTCTGTGTAACTTCCACTAGGAGGCAACAAAGACTAATATATATATACAGAAATACGAGGTCATGTACTGAAAATTTCTTTTGCAGATTTTAGTCAAGTAGGCTTGGTTTTCGTTTTCTAAAATAGGAATTTCTAAATTTCTTCGTAGCTGAAATAGCTAATTGTGTTGGAAACAATATTTATCCATTCTTCCTTAGTATATCTTACTTATTCCAAATATAATACCCTAGCTGTGTTTAGTTCTGATTTTAAAATACAGTTACATACATCATTGGGATCTTGTACCATTACATGAGTATCTTGGTTCTTATTTTTTTCCCCCTTCCCCTGCCCTCCCCTCACCCCCTCCATTCCTCCCCACTTGCAAAGATCCCATTTCCATTTTTTCCCTTTCTCAAATTTTTTCCCCCTCTTTTCCCTCCTCCCCACCTCCACCCCCCAGACCTTTACTTCCTATTACACAATATCAATTACACATTTT